TACGTAGTATATACGTTTGATATTCGGGTATTCCATTCGTAACTTAAACTTGTGCAGTTATAAAATAAAATTATAGATTTAAAATCAAGTCAATGGTATGGAATTAATTCTGGAACCTATTTTACYTCCTAATTAATTGATTGCTAATTGTTAATGAACTAGGATAGCTTTTAAAAGGAATCCAAGAACTAGAATAAATGTATTATTAATGAAATATAAAAAATATGTTTATAAGTAATATTATAGTGTAACAACCAATCGCAGGTTCTAATATCAGAAAATTACTACCAACCGTTGCTATAAAGATAAAGAAATAACCACATGTCCACTTTAAACTATTACAACTAAACTATATCATAACATTACATACTATATTATAAATAAATTAAAAAAATGTGATAGGAATAAAAATAAAAATGTTTGATTTATTTGATATCCAACCCACATCGATAATGGAATTGAGGTGTATAGAATCCGGATGATACAGTTTGGCAAGCACTCTCAAATTGCCTTCTAAATCTAAGTAGGTGACCTTTTTTACTCGAATTGCCTCCGGGTGTTTTCGGATAGAATTGAAGTACCTACACATTTCAACCCAAAGAACGGATWAGGCAAGCCAATATCCGGCATTAGTTCGGACACTGGACATTTGTCCATCAGTAATTTCGAAATCCCTCTGAAACGAACTCCAGAGCTAATAAATTGTGCAAAACCTTTATGTAAGATGAGACAGGACATAGGACAACATATATGTCAAACAAAACGCATTTCGCGATAATAATAATAACGCGGCCTTTAGTAATATGATTCTTAAAAATACWTTTTTTTTTAAATTTAGTTTTAAATAAACACGCAGTTAATAACAACATTACAACAATGGATTCGTATTATAATAAATGACAATCATAAATTGATTAACCATAATTTAATATTTCCCAACTGCAAAATCATTGATATAATAATATATTATATTATTCATAAATGATTTAATCTGCAGACCAGTAACATAAATAAGTAAGTTAAATTAAGCACACTTATATATATGTAAATATGCACAACGTGCAAGTTGAAACTTTTGATTACTATGAATATTAAAATAACTTTTTAAATTAGATAATTCTATAATAATCTTAAAGGTAATAAAATTATCATTCTATTATGGTCGTCGTTAATTAAAATTTTTAATACGATTATATACAAAGTTTTTATGAGTTGATTTTTTATATTGCATATATAATTTGCATTTGCAATRATAATGTACATTAATATACKATACTGTACTACATTGTTCGGCAAATGTATGCACATTATATTGTGGTTGTATATTTTATATAAGACTTGAAATGTAATATAATATTCCTTTGTGTCAAGTCACGATGATAACAGAAACTTGAATATTTTTTCAGACCCAAAACCCATAATTCATAGGTACTGCAACCAATAATAATTATGATATA